TGTGGCTGGCTTATGGAAAGTGGTGTGATGGGAACCAGATTGTATGGTAGCATGAATAGGTAATTAAAAGGGTACTGCAGTAGTTCAAATGAGTGATGATTTGATTTTCTGGTGTGAAATTTTCTATTGATTCATACATATATTGCCACGTTTTAAAATGTCAGCAAATTGAAAATATTTTTAGTCTTCAGGAGAACTAATTAATTGCTACTTTTATAGTTTGAAATTACTCAGGAAAGTAATAGCAATGAAAAATTGAAAGAGGGTTAGTATTTTATTTGTCATTGAAATTGAACCAGTAAACTTCTCACAAAAATTTTTCATAGTTATAATTTTGCTTTGTAATGTGGAATGTAACTACAAAAATGTAAGGTAATGAATTCGTAATATGTACACATCTATTTATATGTGGAAATTATGCATATTTGAAAACAAGTGAATGATGTGATGGTGCAGGTATGTGTAAGTATTTGTTGAATTTGCATTTGTTACTGATAGTTATAACCAGGAATTTGTATCAATTCAAGTCATGGAAATAGTGCCTGATATTTTTAAGCAGAAAGTTAATTCCAAATCAAGAAAGAATGAAAATATTTGGTAAGGAACATTAAATAGCCATATATATATATAAGGTTGTAATTTTAAAAAGAGCATTTATTTAATAAATGATCATTGCAAATCTTATAATTGGAAAAGAACCTTTTAAAATAGCTTTAAATTGTTTCAAAAATAGTATAAATCTTTTAACCAAATCTTGGTTTTGGTACATGCATCCTCAGTTCTTAGTTTACCTAAACTTAGGAAACAAAAGTCAAAAGAGTTGAAGAAATTAGAACATCCATAGCATTGTGGGGGGAAAAGTTGTTAGAGGGTTACATCTTTTTTGATATGAGCCCAATATATTTTTTAAAAATGTTGCTATTTAAGTACACAGTAGTATATACATTATCATAAATGGTAGGTTGTAGTATAATCAAATACTGGAATAATGATTACCGTATTTCCCCATGTATAAGATGCACCCTTTTTCGAAAAATTTGGGGTCTAAAAACTGGGTGTGTCTTATACAGTGGTTGTAGATTTTTTTTTAGTTGCATTTCCCACTGAGGACGAGGCAATATATGAAGACGGTGATTCGTCCTCAGACACATGAGGACAAGCTAATGGTTGGGAGTTTTGACAGTGATGAGGAGTTATATGAATTTTATGATGAATAAAATTTGAGTTCAATAACTTTATGTAATACATTTTTTTTCAAATTTCGGGCCCCAAAATTAAGGTGTGTCTTATACATGGGAGCGTCTTATACATGAGGAAATACGGTACTTTCCGTGATGCGTTTTCTTCAATTCAAACTTGTGCTCAGGAATCTGATTCATTCCTTACTATTAACCAGACTTTCTTTAATTATCTAGAATATTGTCAGTGCCTGTAGTTTGAAGATTGCAAGGTTATTACTCTGCATTCGATGCCAGATTATATTTCAGTCTTCAGAGATTATATTGACGTTTTACAGGTTAGGAGGAATTTATGTCTGATTTCTATGAAAAGTTTTTAAAAAATAACTTTTTTCTTAGAATCTGTTTATCTTTGTCGCTCCCCCTCCCCCATATGATAATTGAATGTAGTGTAATACTTTGAGGAAACATGTCATCGAAATGTATGTTTGTTACATATTCATCCTTTATAGGTTCTGTTAGGGGAATCAGTGGTGACATGTTTCAAAGCAGAAATCTTTTCATGCTTCTTTCTTACTCTTTAATGAGATTTCAGGTATGTTTTAACAACTGGGGTTTCCCTGATGAATCATTAAAATCAGTGAGTGGGCTGGAGGGTAATACTAACTTTTCTCAGTACTGCCCTATTTTATTCTGCTGGGTTATTAGTTGCTTTTTAAATAGAACCTGAGTGTGTTGGAGTTGGTGGGTGGAGGTGCAGAAGGGAAGGGGTCAGTAAGAAAATACCAGGTGAACCTCTGGTGACCTATTGGGAAATCCTGTTCAAATTTTACTTTCCCCAACTTAAAGCATTTCTTTAGTCTTTGAGCACACTGATTTTTGCTCTTCCAAGCTTAGTTTTTCAAATATCGTATATAGGCAACTGGAAAATATATTTTCAATAATTGATCGAGGTATAAGTATCAAGCCATGTGTGGATTAGCCTGTGGAATCAATTTCTCATGTGTGTGGGATTAAAACCGTTAAAACCATCATCGCTGAAACCATACCTTCCTACAACTAATAGCAGTAAGGTGTCTGTGGAATATATTAATACAACAATTCCTCTGATTTAAAATTACTCCTTGGTACTTGGTTGGAAAATTATTTATATATTACAGTTAACTGAATTGACATCATCTACTCATATGAGTGCAAATTATGGGTTTCTAATGTGACTTAGGTTTAGTTTTAAAAAATCCGCATGATGTATTTATACTTAGCACATCTTTTTCAATAAAGCATAGGCGTATTGCAACTGTTCTTTATCTATACTGTTAAAAAAATACTCAGCCACCACAGCATTTGTAACTGCTAGAGGAAGTAGACAAAAAATGTAGTTCACCTTGAAACTGATCACGGCTCAGGGAATAAAGAAATTGGGTCAAGCTGAAAATAAATGCAGGTACAATGACAAAAAGTTTTAATAAAAATTTAAAAATATTCACAGCATTGGTTTCAGGCTCCTTTTGTTCTCAGTGATCTTATCAATGTGTTATTCATTTTAATTGAGGTGACTCTAATGGCACTTTTTCATTTTGGTCAAAATGTTGATATGAACCACTATTGTGATTTTTCACTTTGTGTCCCCTTTTAATTATAATTATAAATATGATTTTTTTGGGGGACGGTAGGTAGTTCTTAGATCATTTTGACTGCTCTTGATCTTAAGTAGAATTTGAAGTTGTTTAAACTTTCTATGTCATAGCTCTCACTTTGACTCATTTTATGTTGCCAATTTAATGTTTAGCATTTAACCATGTATCATTAAATCATAGTATTGATAATGAATTAAACTTCCATAAAACTATAATAGTATAGTAGTTTCTCATTCATCTGGTATCACTGGGGGATAAGATATGCTGAAGTGCTGAAGAAATGAGTTATTTATTTATTTATTTTTTTTTAGCTGAAGCTTATTTCAGCAGAAAAACTTAAAAGTTGATAAAAACATATCTGAAACATTTTATATGCTCTTTTAGGGAGCAACAATGGATTGGCCATTTACTCTTTTCTTAATGTCATAAAATATCATCTTCGTAGTGTCATGCAGAAAGAACTTGGGCTGTCTGATTTGTATTTGTTCTCTAACATAAGAGATTTTTCTTTCTTTTTTTCCCCTGATGTTTCTTCCTTTTTAAAATACCATACCCCTAATTCTGATAGACTTACTCTGCTTAAATGTTTTAAGGGTTAATCTCTGGGGGGGGGGTACATGTGCTAATGCTTTAATAGGTTCATTCACCCAGACACCTATGGAAGACATTTGGCTGCGTGTAGGCTCACACACCATCTTTTGGCAAACACTTGGCCACAGCCATGAAGGAGACACTCTCCTTACTTTGGAATAAGCACTTTCAGTGCTGAGGCCCTGTTACTGCTGCTCCCAAGCATTTACTCCCTAGTAGCCATTGCTAGTGGTACAAATGTTTGTATTCACCTGGCTTACTTGTGAGCTTCTGTGAGGTCAGGGTTGCTGTTTTCTGGGAGTATTCTTTTTTTTTTTTTTAAAGATTTTTATTGGGGAGTTAGGGGGATGGGAACAGTGCTGGGGAATTGGGGAAAGGGGAACAGACAAGTTGCTGTCGTTTTGTTCTTCAATCTAGTTGTGGAGGATGTTGCTTCACTGGC